GGTTCAGGGGTAAAATCTGGTCAAGGCATATACAGAAGGCAGCCAGCCAATCAGTGTTTCTCACATTGATGTCTACATTTATCTCTCTTTCTCTCTGCCTCTCCCTCTCCCTTCTTCTTTCTCTAAAATCAATAAGCATTCTGCAGCTGAGGATTTATTCTTATATCTACTGAGGTCTGTCCAGAAGGTATCCAGCCATGTAATATGAAAAATAGAAACATTTATTGAAGAAGATGCAAGAAATAGTGTACATAGGACTATGATGCCTCAGTGCCCTTCAAAGTAGGCAGCTTGGGACCTCACACAGTTTTCCCAATCACCATCAGCTACCCCATCATATTTTCCTGAGTCACTTTGACAGCCTGAAATCTCCTCCCTTTCAAACATGATTTTAGTTTTGGAAAAAGCCAGAAGTTGCAAGCCACCAAACCTGGGCTACAGAGGGAGTCACCTGGGTGATCACCAAAAAACTCTGCACAAGACGTGATGCATGAATGGGCACATTGTCATGATGAAGCTGCCAATCACCAGTTGCCCATAGCTTCAGCCTTCTCAGTCATCTGAATACATTCCATGGAGGAATGTTCAAGCTTAATGCAAAATTTGATACAGATCCGTTGCTCTTCTTACTCAGTCATTTTGAATGTGATGACCACACAGTACACATGCTCACTCAAAGACATCTGCTCCTACTGACTAGTACAGTGAAGTCCTCATTGTTCATACATGTGCATTCCAGTCCACTTTCTTTGGCTGCCAGGTTACATCAATGTCACACAAATTATTCTCGTTATATTAGCAATGGCTGGACTTTTTCTGTACAGACCTTGTATATTCTAAAGAAATTTTATTGCTTAATTTATGTTTTGGTTAGTTGCCCTTGAATACTTTGTGTTCATGACCAGAAACATGAGTAATAATTAGACATAATCATTCAATTTGGAAACAAGATTTTCTTTATTCATCTTTCAAACATCTGGACTATTTTAATTGCAAAGATCTTAATATTTCCAAAACCATTTGCCATTTGTCTATGATGATTAAAATTGCAGCTGTTACCCATGTCCCTTGATTTCATACTTATTGTTAGTCAATGGTTTATTATTTTCATTGATAGATTTTGATAAGTGGTATCATACTTTGGACTTATAAGATGAATTACTACTAGCAAATCTCTTGTTCTGTTTTATATAATGGAGGGTTCATTTAGAGTTTATTGGATAAAAGAAGGCTGCAACTAAAATAATTTGAAAACCACTCATCTGGCCCAATCGATTAACTGTACAAATTGAAACATTAAATCTGAGTTTAAGTGTCTTGTTGAAAGTTACAGCTAGAACACTGCAGTCGCAAACTTCCAGATCTTTAGTTCGCTGTTCTGTGTATTATTTGTTATAGTGCATTTAGTTTATGTCATGCCCCTTAGTATTAATGACACGGTTTGTACATATCATTTATTTAGTCAACAAGTAATTATCCATACCCCAGACACTCTTTTTGGCACTGGATACATTCCCTGAATCTAGAAATTGTGCTGAAAATAAAATAAGAAAAGTGATTCTGTTCAGCCTCCTGCAATTAGCCTATATATCACTGAGTGGGCTTACTTTATTATTAGCAAGAACTTTTGTATTTGTAGTTATATTTTAGGGGAGTGAAAAAAGTTCTTTAGAATTTTCGAAAGGTAAGAAAAACAAATAATTTGACTCAAAGCTCTCTGTTTGCATCCCATGAACCTGGTAATGTGTTTGGCAGCCTTAAGCTCAAAGATGTATGAAACAGAAATGTGTGTGGTGGGTGCTATTGCCTTTATGTAAACAGCACTGTAGAATGAGAGAGAAATGAAAAAGTAACTCTAAGCAGGAGGCTGGAGGGAGCTTCATGGAAGAGCTGACCCTGGAGTTTAGTTAAAGGAAGGAAGGCTGCCTTAAGCAAACGGAAGTTCTTTCTTTCTAAGCCCAGGGAACAACATGCATAGGCACAGAGTTATGAGAGGTTCTGGCATTTTCAAGAAAGGTTAATGCAGTAAGATCCTGGGGTATCTTAGGAGGAGCAGCGAATAAACATTTTTACCTGTCATTAGATGACTGGAGAGTGGAAGTAATGAAATGTGTGAACTTATTTTGTACCGTACATATCCTTCACGCGTCTACCTATTTTTATTCCTAAATGTTAAGTTCTTCAAGAACCCTGGTGGTGTTTTGCACTGCCCAGTCTGATGGTGATGTGTGCAGTGCTGAGAATGGCGAGGGCTCAGCATATGCTTCCTTATTAATCGTGCCCATCATTCACTCAGCAGATATTTTCGGCTGCAGCATGTGTAAGGTTCTGCACTTTGTGCCATTAGAAATAAAAAACTTGAGATACAAAGCCAGTCTTCAAGGAGCTAGTGAACCCAAAGCAAAAAATAGTAGGTTTTTGTCTTTTTTGATGATGAATAAATTAATGTACTCACAGACCTTACATTTTTGTCAAAGGGGACAATAATAAGACAAACAGGAAAATATGTGATATGTCAGTGATAAATAGTAAGGAGAAAAAAATAAAGTAGAAAAGGGGGATATAAATTATCAAAGGAAAAGAGGAGGTAAAGCTACTTAATTTCTTTTGCCTCCATTTCCTCAACTCTAGAAAAGAAAAAAATACTAGTTCTTACACAGTTGTGACAAGAATTAAATCATGCATGTATAAAGTGCTCAACCTAGTTTCCATAAGATGGTAAGAGAGTTGTCAGCTAGTATTCCTATGTATTTGGATAAAATAAGTTTAACACAATAGCCATCTTATTTTCGTCACTTATGGGCTTTTTAAAATTATATTTTATTGATTATTCTATTAGTTGTCCCAATTTTTCCTCTGTTTCCCCCTCCACCCAGCACCTCCCACTTCCTCAGGCAATCCCCACCCCGTTGTTCATGTCCATGGGTCATTTGTATAAGGTCTTTGGCTACTCCATTTCCTATCCTGTACTTCACATCCCCATGGCTATTCTGCAACAAAGGATATACTTAAAGTTTGGAACCTCTCCATAGCTAAGACTCCCTCATCCATATCTTGCTCCTTTTAGCCTCTGCTTTCAATGTACTCACTGATAATATTACTTATTGAAGTAAGTTATTGTTTTTTTGATAATATTTCTTCTAGAAAACAGTAGTTGTTTATTTAGATGTCAGGTCATCTTTCTACTTCAGGCATTAGGCAGACATCCAGATCTTTCTGTGGAAAATATTCATTAATGCTTCGTGACTTACCACATCTCAAGGTTAAAAGTTCTGACAAAATGAGACCTTTATGCTTGCTTACCGTCTAAAAAAGAGTACAATATTGACATTGTTATTACCAGAGAAAATGTAGCATCTGCAATATCAATCTTTTGGAATTAAGAGTATATACATGGATTAGGTGAACTTTCAAGTCCCTTACCTTTCTTTGCCTTTCTAACCTCTGTGCATCTTTAAATGTAGCCTGACTCCTAAACTGACCTTGATCTCTGATCTCTGAAGTCGTGACTGGCTCTTTCTCTGTGCTCCCTTAGCACTCCATACTTAGTCCCCATCAACGCCAGTATCATTTCATGTGTAATTGCCTGTTTGCCTGAATGCCCAGCATCCCACCTTTCACCTCCCAGGCAGTGAGCTCCTTGAGATGGGACAGTGTTCTCTTTATGTTTGGGTTCCTACCATCCATTCAGTGTCTCAAATGCAGTTTCCCAATAAATACTTAAAACGTGAACTATAATGCCTGCAGCGCCTACAGTATTTCAGGATTATGGAAACGTAGTTACTTAACCCCACATCCTTCTATTGCTCCTTTGTCTCTGCTGGCTGCTCCCTGAGGAATAGCAATGCTCAAGCATGCTACTGTACCACATACTGCACATTTCCCTGTCCTCCTTTGGCCTAAAATCAAACAGAGAAATAAAAAGTAGGCTGGCTATCAGGAAAGACCTCAAAGGTAGAGGCGCACCCCATGGAGTAACTGGGATGGCCCGGGATGTGGTCCTTATGCTTCCATTTAAAAATTGATTTTGCCATTGCTCTCGAGGATGATGGCCTCTAGGGTCTAATACAAACCATCTACACAATGTACGTTTACAAGAAATTAATTTGTAAGCCAGATGACCTATGTGTTTGTTTGATTGTTTTCTTCGAGTGAAATGCATACACCTGGTATTCAAGTCACTGACTTAATGATATCAAAGCACCTGTGAAATCCTCCAAATAATCATGGGATGGGCGGTGGGGGGATGAAATGGAGACAACTGTACTTGAACAACAGTAAAAAAATGAGAAAAAAATAAAAGCCTAAGCTTATCTAACTAAATTTAAAAAAAAAAAAAAGAAATCCACCAAACCTTGGAAACAGAGCAGAATGAGTTGGACCTGTCACAAGGATGATTTTACCCAGGATGAGGCAGGGCCTTGTCAGCATCTCCTTGGTGGCTAGGACACAATAGAGTGATGGGTGATAGGGTATCAAGAACACTTTTGAAAGTCCTTATAAAAATTATTTTCTTATTTGTTAAAAGATAAATATTTTAAAAGTCAGAAAATAAAACAATGGCATTTTCTAATAATTACAATTAATTAATACTCTTAATAATGGTAATATACAATTTGGTTCCATAATTCTTTGACCCCAACATGAGTTCATAAGTTAATGATAATGTGATCTTGCCGATGATGGTGCTAAGAAAGAAGGAAAGATAAAGGATTGAAGTTAAAACTGTACCTCCTCTAATTCAAGAATCGTCACAGTCTCAGGGTCAGCTCAATTTTACTGAAGTTCACTCTGCTTGTAGTTTTAGCTGGCTTACTGGTGCTCCTCTATATACTAATAATGCATGATGGTCCACTAGTTTATCCTATACCCTTGTAAAGAAACTATGAAGTGCAGGCAGGTTAAGTGGTCATTGAAAAAAATAAGTCAGTCGTACCTCTTCTCAAGGGCTGAAGTGAGTGAGTCTCTCAAGCCTTATCTCGAGGTCCTTTCTATTCCAGAGATTGGAAACCCAAGTGCCTACAGAGGCCAGTCTGGTGGGAATGAAGCAGGAAGCCGCTGCAGTGAGCTGGAGAACCAAGTTCCAGATAATTGTCGCAAGGCAGGCATGTTGACCTAGTGACACCCTTCTGTCCAGTTTATCAGGTAAAGCAGGAAATGCAAATTTTCATGTGAAATTTTTAATTTAAATGTTGTCAACTAACTTGCTATTATTGATGATTATTCTCAAGCTGTATACAAGCCAAACACTTTTACAGATAGATTTGGCTTAGATTTCTCCCTTTTGTAACTTGGTCCTATATTTGGCTTCCTTTTTTGTTAAATTGAAGACTTCATTTTCTACAGGTTTTGCTTTTCTTCAGCTTGTGCTCTATAATACACTATGCCCAGCTTTGTGATATTGAAACTCCTTTCCTCTCCAACCTGAGTTCTTTGCACATAAGTTTTTTTTTTTTGGCTGTTGCATTTTCTCTGCCACTCTCATCCCAGTGAGCAGTCAATACTAAATGGAGTATCCCTGAGACACTTCTGATATGACACCACTAAACACTTACAGATATATACTACTTACTCATTTAGTTACTGATAAAAACAGTAAAACATCATTTATTTCATGGGGCTTAGAGATTGTATGCTTTGTGCCCCCCTTTCTAGAATCCACACAGAAATGATTTTCTCCTCTTGTTTCTTGAGAGACCTTATCAGACAACTTATTAGACTTCAGTTATGTTGTACATTTAATTATGTTCGCTAGAGACGTTGATTGGACCTACATGTTTCTAGGTAGTTACACACATTTAGAGACAGTGTCCTCGGGTGGGTGTCTTCCGTGGCTGAGAAGTCTTCCTGTTTCTACTCCAGGAACAGCCTGAGTTTCAAGGTTATGAGTGGTGGTTGGGGTTGTTACCTCTATACAGAAGTGATTATGCCAAGAAAGAACTTTACATCCACTGTCAGGTGAATTAAAAAATGCTAAATATTTTTATAGTAAGAGTGTATAAATATTAATTGTTTTATAATATGGCACAACCCCAAATGGGCATAATTCATAATTGTTTCATTCTTAGTATGGTTTTGGGAAAAAGCAATATTGATGTACATCTTTTTTTCAACAGTGGTTTAACCTATATATTGAGCTGTATTTTGAGTAACCAAAAGACTAGTAGTGCATGAATAACATGTAAAAATTACCCACTTAAACGAAATTAGAGACTTCCACCAAGATGGAGGCATAGGTGGAGACACCGTGCTTTCTCACACAACCAAGTTTAGAGACAACAAAATATTAGGAACAGAAAACACAGCTAGAACACAGAAAATTGAACTTTTCAGAAGTCTGATAACAACGAATTCTTCAGCCTGACCCGTAAGAGGGGCAAAGCCAGCAGCTGGCAGAGTGGGGGTGCACAAGAAAACTCAATCAGACGGACTCAGGCACGAGGATCCCAGATGCGGGGTTGCAACAGGTGGACCCAGTGAGCAACCCAGTGAGCAACCGGCAGACCCAGCGAGGGCGCAGGGTGGCGGGTCGACTGTGGTCTCTCATTAGTGCGCAGGTAGACCAGCGAGGGAGTGGGCTGTGAGACGGCACCAAGCAGGCCCCAGCAGCGGGAGGCAACAGAAGGGGCCCTCATTTCCCCGCTCTGACCCCGCCCCCACATACAGTGTCACAGCCTAGCCCCGCCCTGGTGAACACCTAAGGCTCCGCTCCTCATGCTTAATGAGCGTGAACAGACCAAAAATGGCTCAAGAAGATCTTAAAACCCCAGAGCCCATAACTCTAAGTGACAAAGAAATAGCAAAACTTTCAGATGCACAGTTCAAAGCACTGGTGATCAGGATGCTCACAGAACTGGTTGATTATAGTCACAAATTAGAGGAACATATGAAGGCTAAACTAATTGAAATGAAAGGAATTGCACAGGAAACCAATAGTGATGAAAAGGAAGCTGGGACTCAAATCAAGGGAGTGAACCAGAAGGAAGAAGAAAATGGCCAAACAGGAAAATATGAAGAAACAAGAATTCAAAAAAATGAGGAGAGACTTAGGAACCTCCAGGACAACTTTAAACACTCCAACATCCGAATTATAGGGGTACCAGAAGGGGGAAAGGAACAGCCACCAGTGGAAAACTTATTTGAACAAATAATAAAGGAGAATTTCCCCAACCTGGCAAAGGAAATAGACTTCCAGGAAGTCCAGGAAGCTCAGAGAGTCCCGAAGAAGTTGGACCCAAGAAGAAACACGCCAAGGCACATCATCATTACATTAGCCAAGATTAAAATAACGGAGAGAATCCTAGAAGCAGCAAGAGATAGGGGGACAGTCACCTACAAAGGAGTTCCCATCAGACTGTCAGCGGATCTCTCAAAAGAGACCTTACAGGCAAGAAGGGGCTGGAAAGAGGTATTCCAAGTCATGAAATCCAAAGACCTGCAACCAAGATTGCTCTATCCATCAAAGCTTTCATTTAGAATGGAAGGGCAGATAAAGTTCTTCTCAGATAAGATCAAATTTAAGGAGTTCATCATCACCAAGCCCTTATTATATAAAATGTTAAAGGGACTTATCTAAGAAAAAGAAGATAAAAAAGATGAACAGTGAAAGGACAGCAAACTCACAGTTATTAACAACCACACCTAAAACAAAAGCAAACTAAAAGGACAACTAGATCAGGAGCAGAACCACAGAAATGAAGATCTCATGGAGGGTTAGCAACAGGGGAGTGGGAGAAGGAAAAGGGGGGAGAAGGTACAGAAAATAAGTAGCAGAGACAGTAGGTAGAAAATAGGGGGGCAAGAATAGTCTGGGAAATACAGAATCTAAAGAACTTGAGACACATGGTCATAAACTAAAGGGGGGAATGGTAGGGGTGGGAGATGCAGCGTGGAGGGGAATGAAAGGGGGAATAGAACAACTGTAATGGCATAATCAATAAAATCAAAATAAATAAATAAATAATAAAATAATAATTATCCACTTAAACTTGCTTAGTGTACTCTTAAGTAGATTATGTAAACACAAACAAGCATTTCTTATAAATATTTCCTATAAGAAGTTTCATTGTACCATACAAAAGCAAAAGTAACAAACCGCTGATGACTAAAATACAGAAATACATTATAAACTATTTTCCCTCAGAATTATACTGTGTTTATCAATGAACATATAGCTGTTCTCTGTTATTACTTTATTTTAAAACAATTCTCTGTTTTTTAAGGATATGTATGTAGGAGCTGGTAATTGTTCACTTTTTAACTTTTAAGAAGGTAAAATGAATAGTAAGCATTTTCTATTCATTTGTTGTCTATTCATATGTTTTCTAAACACATGCATACAGACCCACACTTTTCACTCCCTTATTTTTTGTATTTTAATGTATTTTAATAGCAAGCTTACAGGAACAGCACAGAAGAGAGACAACATTAAAAACATGTGCTTGCATGTAGGATGACAACTCAGAAATGTATACTGAATGGATGGAATCTACTGTATGGTTAAAATGCTACAAACACCAGTTAGTTGCCATCCATAAGAAATTTACTCAGTACAAACTGACAGTGACCAGAGGGGAGGGAGGAGGGAGATAAGTAAAGAAAGAAGGGGAAGGGTCAAGTCAAGGAACAGTATTAAAGACCCATGGACAGAGACCATGGAGGGAGAATTGAATGTGGGAGAGGAGGTAGGTTGGGCAAGGGAGAGTAATGAGGGGAAAATGGGTACAACTGTAACTGGACAACTATAAAAAATAATTTTAAAAAGAAAAGAAATTTACTTGGACATCTGGTCAAGATGGAGGCATAGGTAGACACCACTTCACCTTCTTGCACAACCGTAAAAAAGATCACAACTAACCTCAAAACAAAAACACCCAGAACTGCCAAACAAACTGTACGGAAGTCCAAACAACCAAGGATTTACAGAAGCCTTACTCATCCAGATGGATAGAAAGGGTAGAGACCGGGAGCCAAGGCAGAGAGGACACTGTGTGGTGGTGGCAAGGCAGCAGCAAATAGGCCTCTGGCAAACCAGGTGGTCCCACATTCCCATGTGGTGAATAAAATCAGGAGGGATACCTTGGGAACAAGCAATCCCAGCCCCAGGCCAGACCACACAGACCAGGGTTTCTGCACCAGGAACATAAAACCTCATAACTTCTGCCTGTAAAAACCAGTAGAGGTTAGGACAGTGGCATAAACTGCCAGTCTCTTGAGAAAAGCCATTTATAGGGCTGGGACACAAACCCACCCGCTCTGGGAACCACCACCAGGGCAGCAGCTAGAGGGGTGCCAGTTGCTTACCGGAAGGGAATGAAGTGACTGGAAATGGGGTAAGTCATAAGTGAGCCTCAGCATCATCATCCCCATTCTGACCCCACCCTCACATACAGTGCCACAAAGCAGTGAAGCTGGTTGCCCCACCCCATGAATACCTAAGGCTCCACCCCATACAACTTAACTGGTGTGCTAAGACAGGGAGTCAAAGCAGCTCTACCTAATACACAGAAACAAATACAGGGAGGCTGCCAAATGGAGGAGACAAGGAAATACTATGGCCCAAATGAAAAAATAGAACAAAACCCCAGAAAAAGAACTAAGAGAAACAGAGAGAGCCAACCTGTCAAATGTAGAGTTCAAAACACTGGTGATAAGGATGCTCAGAGAACTCACTGAACTAAGACAAAAACATAAGGAAAGAAATGAAGGTTACACTAAGTGAAATATAGAAAAATCCACAGGGAACTAAGAGTGAAGGGAAGGGGTTCAAATCAATAATTTGGAACATAAGAAGAAATAGACAATCAACCAGAACACAATGAAGAAACAATTCAAAAAAATGAGGCAAGAATAAGAAGAGCCCGGAACATCTCCAGAAGTCCCAATATTTGAATCATAGGGATGCCAGAAGAATAGGAAGAGCAAGAAATTGAAAACTTACTTGAAAGAAAGAAAACTTGATAAGAGAAATAGATATACAAGTCTAGGAACACAGAGTACCAAACAAGTTGGACCCAAAGAGGACCACACCAAAACACATCATAATTAAAATGCCAAAGGTTAAAGATAAACAGGGAATCTCAAAAGCAACAAGAGAAAAGCTGGGAGTTACCTGCAGAGGATTTCCTGTAAAACTATCAACTGAT